TCAACAGAATTATCTTGAATTTGTTTTCACTTTCTTAAAATGCATGATGAACAGCTGAGTCGTTAATAGCCAAGGCATAGAGATCAAATGTAACAATTCATCTGGAATAATATGTAAGCAAAAATCAAAAAGGTTTTCAATTGTGAATGTCAATACGCTGTCACTGAAACTACCTTAGTCTCGAGGGTCTGCAGACCAGAAACGAGCTAACATTATTTGAGAAGGCTAATCCATCTGAACAACAAAAGAAGAGGTAGAGGAAGGATTCCTCTTCAAGGTTGTAGACACCTTACTCATCACTGTGACCTGTATACGCCTTACTCATCACTGTATAAGGATTGAAGGCGTGCAGGTATATACACTGGCTGAGTCTTATTTATAAAGCCCTTCTTGGTTTAGTTCCTTTATATATATGTTCATACCACCAAAGAACCAGAAGCCACTTTGCCTTGCCTTCCTGTGACGTTTTTTAAACTGTCTGTTCCTCGTGTCCGGACTGAGCTCGGGAAAAGAGCGTTTAATTTTGCTGCTCCCTTTGCATGGAACTTTCTCCAAAATGACTCGAAAATTGCAAATCTAATTTCGCTTGAAACCTTTCACTCGATCTTAAAAGACAAAAAACACGAGACCATTGGTGACTGCCTGCCTGCCGTGTATTTGAACTGTAATCCTTAATCTTCACGATTCTGCACTATATCTGTGAACGGATTTGCACATTGTAATTGTCTGCTCTTAACTTATTGTTTTTAAAACTGTTTCTTAATCATGTAATATTTATTATGATGTATGCTGCCGTCTTGTGAAAGAGATCGTGATCTCAGTGGGTTAATTACCTGGTTAAATAAAGGTTTAAAAAAACTGTCTCCTGAGTCTCAATTGTCACACATGTCTGATGTTATAAGCTACTATAGGAGTCTTTCAGGAGATAGTTTTGCAAAGAAATGCTTGCTATTATTATTAATACTATTAAGATAATCAAAGCAGCTATGTTAATTTATGGCTGTGAAAAAAAATGTGGTCAGGTGGGATGGGATATTTTTATCATATGACCGTATTATACTGGATGTGGATCATGCTAAATTTGATCCATGGCTGCTCCACTGAGTACTTGGATGTTTCTCAAGTAAAAAAAGAAGCTCTGATTGTAGTTTCTGATATTCAGAGAATACCCTACCACACACAGAGAATAACCACAACACAGGATTGTGGGTAAGTCACATGGTGCCGTGCACTCCTTCAGAGAAGTACTGAAAATTGATTTTCTTCTTTTTTTTTTTTTTTTTAAACCTGTTGCCCGGCAACATAACCCTTATGCTCCATGATGTAGAGTGAAAATAATAAAGTGGAAAGAGGAAGGGGAGAAAGAAGGGAAAATATTGATTTAAGATTCAGACTAAGTCAGTTACGATTCTTTCAGCAATCATGATCTCAGCTCACAGACAGTCACATCGAGTAAGATCATTTTTTTATTTCCAGCACTCTCCTTCCTCCTCCTCCGCAGCCAGGAGGATTAGGAGTGAGTGTTTTTTTTTTTTCAAAGTGACCATGAGGGTCAGCTTCAACAGAGTATGTGGGAGGGTTACTGGATAAAGCAAAAGGTGTGTATGAACTGTATCATAGTCTAAATACTGAGTATGAGTGCATGAATATTACACTGAAAAGACAACAGCTGTTTTAACTGTGATCTGAGGTCATTGTCAGTATGTCCTGCACACACTGGAGATACAGATTCTGAAAGCATTACACCCTGCAACAATCATACTAATCCAGGTTTTTGAGAAATCTAAGCTTGTGCATGCGTGTGTGTGTGTGTGTGTGTGTGAGAGAGAGAGACAGAGAGAAAGAGAGAGAGAGCATGCAATCATTTCAACTATTGGATTTTGTCCAATTGTGAATTTCTGGCAAATCTGTTTGCAACATGAACAGCTTATATTGGCCATCAGTGAGGGGGCGGTTGAGGACAAAAATCACTAAGGTGGCAAAATACTGTACAAATTTGACTCTAAGAACACTAAAAAAAGCTTTGTACTTTACCAGGTTAAAAGACTACTGCAAGATGTATAAAGAGCAGTTTGTAAAAAGTGTTCCTCATTAATAATAGAGCTCACTTTGTTACAAGGCCTTCTACGACATTTAAATCTATTTTTGTAATTTAGGAGGTAAAAACCATCATAGGCAAAGCAGCATCCAGTTTTACCTACATTCAAATGTACTTTACCGAGTCTTACTTTCAAGGTATAGGGCGATTTTCTGAAATTGTATACGCCTACATTTAAGTTCTTTTGATTGGTTTCTAAATGAAGAACATTTCCAAAAAAATACTTACTTGAAAAAAGAAAAATGCTGCACAGTACTCTTGCTAAGTATCACCAATTTATTCGAAATCACAATCACAACGTTTCCATCCCTCTAAATTGGTGATACTCAGCAAGAGAAGTGTGCATCTACCTGAGATAGTTGGATGTGCGGACACCTCCTCAAAAAATACTTGTAAATGTGATCGAAACATATTGCTCAGAAGGCTTCTGTGATGCCTGATAAGGAATTTCACGTTTGATCCTTACGTGAAAATGTTATACAACTATTATAAAGCAAGACTTCTACTTGTAATAAGAGTCTTATTTATTTTGCTCGTACATTCATTTCATAAAAAGATCTCAAAACTTCTTCTAAGCCGAACAACTACCCATACTGACTGTAGGTGCAAAAGAAAATGTGAATTTAGGGTGGTAAACACTTATGTGTGTACATAGTTGTCAGTAAGGTACACTTCTTCATTCTAACAGAACAGCAATAAATCATATCCTCATAAAAGCCATAATGTTGGTTGACAATGATTCACAAAGGTTTAGACTGGTTGTTGCTCATTTTGAAGGCTGTAGGTTTTGGGGATTCTCAGGTGTATTGTGTCATTTTTAAAGGTTGTATACCTGTTTCGTTCATACAGCTAGCACTTAAGAGTTTGATTTCCAATTCAACATAAACACAGACTGCAGCTTTCAAATGACACAAAACTACAACAACAACAACACATCTGTCAAAACTGACCTATGAAGAATTCTTAAACCAACTGCAACATATGATAAATTGGCAGCTGTAAAGAGAATGGTTTTGTACTACTAACAATCAGGTTGGCTGAATGATCCAAGCACACTCAGGCTCAGCACATGCAAATACTCTTCCACAGTCAGCAGACACTCCGCATGTGAAGAGGAAGAGAGGAAGTAGGGGGAGGAGGAAGGTCCAGGGTCATCAGAGATGCGACCTCCCCTGAAGGCTCATGTGGCAGCTGTGTTTCTGAGCTGAACAATGCTCGGGAAGGGTTTATTAAAGGTAGACGACTTTAATCACGAGTCGTGCTGCTGCAACCCTGACGATTAGATCAGTCATCCGGTGGACTCAGTGACCGACAATCGCTGATAATTGTGCACAGTGTAGCGGTGGGTCGCGGAGAGGAGAGGATGGATGCTGCCGTTAGAGGACCATGTTGGCTGCTCGCCGGCCTGCTCCACATACGCGTCTAAAAATGAAACCTCACCCCCCCCTCTCCGCCTGTCAGTCTGCTGATCACAGCTCAGCCTGTGATGGCATGGCTGCTCTCAGAGCCTTTTTGCGTTTATTGAACATGCAGGCACATAGCAAATATGAGCGAAAATATGCGATTTTGAAACGCAAATATTGCTGCTGATGCTGCTGAAGCATTGGCCGTGAAATGCGACACCGCCTTGAAAAACGGCCTGGTATCATGAATGCATTATGAAAGCCATTAAAAAAAAAAAAAAAAAAAGGCTAAATGATTATAAAAATGGGTGTCTCTTACCTCAGTGTTCTCATCTATTGGTCATCAGAGGATGGATCGGGAGGAGGCGCAGGTGCAGGGATGCAGAGCGACGCCCAGGGACACAGAACACATGAAGCAATCATTGCATCGCTCTCCCAAAGACATATAGCTGAAAACAAAATCCAGAAACCACGCTCACCTGTTTTGACAGGGATCCGGCTCTTGTACCTGATGTTGCTCGTCATGTTGACCGCTCTGCCTCCCTCGATATTACAGAAGCGACGGCTCACAGAAAGCAGCCCCCCCTTCGCCTCGCTTCCAAACCCCGAACAGACAGCAGGAGGGCGGGCCGAGCTGACAGATGTAAGCCCCGCCTCCTCCTCGCAGCACTCTTTGGCCAGTCTCACTGCTGCTGAGTTTACTATGAGCAGGGAGCGCACCAGGAGCCATGAGGTGGGCTTGGACCAAAACAACAACCTCACACATCAATAATACATTACTTGGTGCACCTCAAATCTTTAAGTCAGACATCTTGGGATTCAGTCCCCAGAATAGTCTAATAGTATTTTCAGTAGGCCTATGTAGCCTATGTTATTTGGTCCCACGCATTCTGCCTGATAAATCTAAAAAAAGATGATGATACAAAAATGATACACGAGCTGTAAGAAGTAGCATAAAAACTTCTAAAAATGAGAGAGCAGAAACCTTTTTCCTTTGAATTGTGTTAGTATGGAGGACCTTACAATAAAAACTGTTCACTAGGCCTAAGCTTCATTGGCATGAATGTGACAATATTACCAAAGCATATAATAACAAACAACACAACAATATTAACAATAAAGCTTACTGAAGTGAATAGAAAATAAAGAACCGCTAACAGAGTTGGCTTAAAATAACGGATAGCCTCCTGTTAAAAAAATCTTTTTTGGGAAACTGTTGAAGCTACATAAAAACATATGGCACTGCTCAAAACTAATGCTAAAGCTGTTCAGATTCTAAACGTGACAGGACGTTTAACAGCATTATAGATAGATAGACTTTATTATAGCCTAAAACCATGAAGGATAAACGGTCGAAATCACTTCATTGAACTGTTGACATAACCAGCTTAAATCTATCAGAAAACATTATATTAAATGTAAGCTATAGTAAAATATGTAAAAAAAAAATACTAATACGTATGTTGTTCAAAGTAACACTGGACTCAGGAAAAGGAAACTTGTTGTCTAAAAACAAATTTTATTGAGAGAAGTACAAAAGTTTGACACTTAAAAACAAGTTCCTACTTATATATGGTTAAGAAACCATAACTGTCTCTTAATAAGTTCCTGTTACACATTTGCACAAGAGAGCAAAACAATAGTGAAACAAAATGATGCCAATAAAGCACAGTTAGTTTCTCTAATAAAGAAAAAATAATAATTGTTCAGTCTCAGAAAAGATAGAGGGAGTTCAAACACCATAAAGTTGATTTTTTTAGTATTAAAAAAAGTAGGCTCAAATACAAAACGAAGACACTGCACATGTAGTGTACAAACAGAACATTAAACACAAACATTACTGAAGGAGCATATAAGACACTTTAAGTTTCTTAAACTGAATTGTTTGATTAGTGTTCAGTCTGTAGTTTGGCACGGACATTTATATCAGCAACTCTTGATGGTAAATACAAATATATTAAGAAGATTTTTGTTTATTTTATTGAACAATAAGCCTAGTTATTTCATCTTAGAACTGAGCTATTCATTTTTTTATGCATATAGCTTACTGTAGAAGCTTTCAAACCAAAAAGCTAAAAAATAATTAGATTATAGTTTGCTACAAAACATGGTTACAAAAGAAGGTTTCTAGTTTAACATAATTAAGGTCAAATTTGTTTACTTAAAAACCAGACAAATTAGACAACTCATTTATAACCACAATTACACATCGCTGTCATGATCGTCTACTGTACCAATCCTAAACTATTAGTAAAATGAAAGGCAACAAATGTCATTAAAAAAAGAAAAAAAGGTAAACAATCCCTTCATCCGATTACAATAAAAATGAGACATGGTGGCATACGGAGCCTGGACTTGACCATAATGCACAATTTGAAAAAATTGTCAGTGTGACTGAAAACATCTTAGTACCGTACTCACTTGCAGCGCTGCAGACCACAATTCAAATTAACCGCTATATAACTGATATACAGTAGTTCATAAATATCCCATACATTTTGTTTTCATCCTTTTTGATTATGCCTACTTCAACTCATCAGACTAGTAGCAAGGAAGAACAATCAGTGGTTGTGGGTTGTGACAGAGAGGAGCTCCTGAACAGCTGATGGATGGATGTTTGGAGGGAGGAGGAGAATTGAAAGTGGTGTTTGAGTTGTGCAGAAAATAGATGATGTTATCCTAGATAACACCACGTGTGTATGTGTGTGTGTGTGTGTGTGTGTGTGTGTGTGTGTGTGTGTGTGCTTCCCTTCTACTCCGACTCTCTTACTCGTCTGATTTCATCTTCATCTGTGCCTGCATCTGAACGATCATCTCTTGCATGCGCCTCAGCTAAAGAGAGAAGAGAAAAAATTGATAAAAATCAAATTGATGGAGAGTGCCTTACATTTCAAACCATATTGAATTAAATGTCAATTTACATTCTCTTAATTTGTCCGTCATGTTTATTTTATTATTTTTTTATATCCCTGTCTTGTTGTTTATGTTTATGGTAAGCACTTTGTAAAGTTTGTTTTAAAAAGGTGTTCTACACCAACACATCCAATTGTGTATTATATTTTGGAAGCATAGAAAAATCTACCGATAATATAAAAATGAAAACATGAGATGATCTGAGTGACTGAGGAATTGATTTATAGAGTGATTGCAAGTTGAGGTACTCCAGAACAAATAGAGTCAGAAGTAAATAAGCTTATTCAATCTCTTGGTTCAATTCAAACCTGCACAAGAGAAAACATCAGACCTGAAGTGTGATCAGAAATAAGACCGAAAGGTTAAAAACAGAAGAACTCTGCAATCGCCTAATCACCCTATTAACGCTCTCCTGTTACACCCTCTGAAAAATAGAAGCCTCTCATGAGCTACAGTAAGTAAAACATAATTTTTACTGCTTGAATGGTTTATTTAACCTACAAAAAAGGTACTTTAGGACAGATACCAAGACTCTAAAGTTAAAGGTCAAAAGGTTGTATGGTCTTATAGCAGGTAGTGAAGAGTAAGATAAAAAGAAGAATTTCACTTTCTGATTCAAGAATTGAAAAGTCAACTAGCCTGCAGGAAAACCACAATGAGTAAGAAAATAATCTATTTAGTGACAAGCTAAAAGAAGAAACCTCATGATGACATGAATGTGTTGTTCACATTCATGTCGTCATCATTACTCATTGTTATTCTGCGCTCTGCATTACTTTAAATGAACTGAACACAGGCTGACTGAAACCCGTACTATTTAGAGGTTTTCTACAGAGGTCTATTATTATTCAGTAAAATAAAGAGTACATCAAAACGTTTTTGTTCATTAAAACATGATGTATGTTTATAGCAGATATAAGCAGAAGAAATGTGTTTAAAATGAATAAGGCATTATTTAATAAGAAGAAATAATGAATAGGCCTACATGATGGTCAAAATGTAACTGAATGTTAATGGTGAAGAAGTATACACCCATAAATGATTGAATGATCCGAAAACTCATTAGCAACGATAAAGAGGAAGTGAAGCTTTCATTTAAGATATGACGTCTCTGTAGCTTTCTTTAACGACTATCGCCATCTTGTGGTCAAGTATGGAACTTGAGAGGATGTATATTCACAGACGTTTTCTTGTCAAAGCTATAGGGCTGTATTCTCCTCTTTTGAGAGAAAAAAGGACAAAAACTTTATTGATTTTCAGAGGCTTTTTTCCCTGTTCAGGGTATTCAGGGTAAGCTCACCTAGAACCTAGAAAAGCTACCTAGAAAATACTTATGGGTAATGCTTTCATGTAAGGCTGCTCCAGTGTCTTAAGGATATTTGAATATGTTGCCCTGATCAACTGTAATCTGATGCTGAATATAAGGGTCATAAACATTTTCAGCACTTTTCATTGTTAAAGTAACAACTTCTGTGTTTTCAGAAACAAACAGGACACAAAAACCAAGTTGGTAATTGTGCTTTTTTTTTTTACATCAATATTAATAATGACTTTACAAATCAATAAACATCTATTTAAACCTACACAAATGATTCTTTTTGGAAATTCTACTACTTGACATTTATTGATTTGTTAATTTGCATACCAGTAATCATATTTGAACCTGAAGATTATTTTGGTCAGCTTACTTTATGTGCCCTGACTGACTTTGTTGTTATCATTGAAACATTTCTCCTGTTTCCTGATTGTTATTATTATTACTACAAAAATACAGCACAGAGCTCTCTTCAGGAACATTCTAAGAAATAATGGTTATAACGGCTTCTTTCTAGGAAATGAAAATGAAACAAGGGACTTGTAAAACTACATCCAGGAACAGTAATACATTAGTTATTGTTCTTCTTCCCCCCAGAAGCCCTGACAGCATGTAAACAAATATACAACTGTCTCTGCAGCTTTGCTTTTCACTCCCTCATATGACTGAGGTCATTCCCATCATAAATCTGGGCCAGGACTTCCAGGCAGGACATGATGGCGTATCCTGCCTAGGCACATTGTTTACAAAAAGCTCTGATTGCAACCCATCCACTAACGGTGACGCACTGGTGCAGCAGCACAAACAGACCAATCAAGAGCGCTTGGGAAACAGATAATGCGTGCATGCTCCATGTCACAGAAGGTAAACAATGGTAGATCGCAGGTTGGAAATTAATTAATTAATTGAAGTCAAGCATGCCAGGAAAGGTTTCCAGGTTTGAGCTTGGGGTCTAGCAGCAGGTACATCAAGGGGCATTTTGAAAGGGGGACATGATCACGTTATAGTGATTGGGAGGGATAAATATCACTAAGATGACATAGCAGAGGGAACTCTTTACAGCCAGTAGGGAGGGAGAGAATGGCTACAGCCACCAGTTTAACATATGTATTTCAAGCACTAAGTGGAATAACAAAGACCATTTACTTTCTTCTCTGTACATTTCCTTACCTCAGCCTCTTTCTGTAGCAGGATCTGGTCCTTGTCCACAACATCCTCATCCACAGCCCTGCAGAGGAACAAACAGAAGTGATAAAGCCTTGGTTGAAAGGAGCAGAACATCTGTTGTTTAAGTGAAATGAATCAGTGTCTCACCTGCCCGCTGTCTTCAGCCTCTCTGATCGGAAGTTCTCATAGTGCAGATCCTGAGTTACCTCCTGAAGGTCTTGCATGTGGGTCCTGAAACAAACACACATGCAATACTTCGTTTACACACTAGGAGGCAGTATCACTCCACTGTGACCTAATTTCTTTCAGACTTTTACAACCAGCTCAATGAGGAAGATGGTTTTAGAAGACTTTCCTTTAGAAAATAGTTTTACTGAAGGAGTTTTTTTTTTTTTTTTTGCCAGAGATACTCACACAAGCATTGTGCGAAGTTTGAGGAAGTCATTGTGCTCAGGGTTCTCCACTTCAACAACTCCCCAGGGGTACAGACGGCCACGAATCTTCTTCCCCTTCACCTCAATCAGCTGGTTAGAGCCAATCACAGCAAAGGGAACACTCGCCTGGAAAAGAAAGTAGAGGTTAATGGATCCCCAGAGAGACAATAGGTCCAGGAGAAAGTGAAATGGTCATTGAAAATAAAAAAATAAAAGCAGAGAAAGTGTAGTTTTGTAACTGCTGATGTCAGATGCGTGTCCCTCTCTCACCTTCAGGACTCTGGTCTGCTCCTTGAACTCCTCGTCCTCGTCAGAGTCGGCGTCAGGTAGCTGATAAATTCTGATCCCTTGCTCTGCGATCTCATCCAGGATCTGTTAGGTGGAAACGAGAAAAGATGGGATTAGTCATCATTATCACAACTTCATCGTGACCTGCTGACATGTCCCACTGCACGAGGATAACTCGATGCTTAGACAACATCAGAGGGTCAGCATGACTTTCTAGAAACAGTCTGTACTCGACCATTCTGAAAAACAATCAACTAGAAAACCACTTCAAACGGCGTCCTTACCATCAAAACCACCAAGGTACCCTTGGATTTAAAAAAATTTTTTAAACTAAAATGTATCCCCCTTAAACTTCACATCTTATTGGGCTTCAAACTTCATTTAGGGTATCTAGAAGCTTGAAATGTACACAGTATTCTTGTTTTTTTTTAGCACTATGCATTTATTATTGTGCCTTTTCTGGTATGTACATGATTTGTCCTGAACTTGTTGTTTCTTTTAACGTTAATACAAGTCTGATAATACAAGCTGCTTCTCATGAGTTGTGTTGTCAGGTTTGTATAGATGACGTATTTAGCCCCTTTACACTGTGAGTTATAAAACAGCTGCGGCTCTGACCGCCAAACAGAAAGTAAGAGAGCATTTAAGACTAATAAGAGGGTGTGAGTGAGCACCTGTTGTTGCAGCAACACATTTAATTAAAGCCCCCCCATGAAGGAAAAGAGGGCTGAGGCAGGAAAGGGTAGACAGGTGAAATATTTTAACCGTGTGCGTGTGCGTGCGTTCTCACCCTCCTTTATTCCTGTGCTGACCGGTAAAGAAACAAGTTAAAACAAAGGAGCTTTCTTCTCTGCTACCCCACAGGGACAGTTGTCAGTATTTATTATTCTAAACATCAAAGCTGCGCTTTACTTTTGTTTTACCGGGTACAGCATTTTCAAATTCACAATGTGCTCTTATGTAATGGAGCCAAAAAATGTCAAGGGTTGTTTTCCTGACTTTTTGGGGACTTTCATGTACTGTAGCATATAAAAAGGACAGTTGTCAGTCAGCCAGGAGCCTGGGAAGTGAGCGCAGGTTTTCCTACAGAGCACAGCTTCTGTTTGAGCCGTTGTTATGGCTGTTGCTTGTTTTCTCAGTGAGCTCTGTACGCAGTGTGAGCAAGATAGTGTGTGTGCGTGCAGGGGGAGACTCGGGTATTGTTGTGCGGCAGATCTAAAAACAAACAGGCTACGCAAGACTCAGAGAAGAGTGTGACACAGGACCAGAGCTTGTATTTCCCCTTCATTCACTCAAACACAAACGATGTACAGACCGGTCGAACATGGAGGCTGAATAAACATCAATCTGGCCGGAGAGGCAGAGCATAGAGCGTTTTGGGAAACTGTGCACTCAGTGGGAAAATAAACACAAATGAGACACAATGGCAGGAAAAAATGAAACAAACATTGCACAAGAAGATAAGATGGAGAGAAATTCACATACAAACGCAGTAAAACAGGAAAAAATCCAACGGCAAGACCACTTGTCAACTAGGACACAAAAAAACCATCTTTTGTGAACAGAAACTAGCATGGAATATCTTGAAGTAACATCTGGTCATCACTCGAACATGAGTCTGCGATCATCTGTTTCCAGACCTCTGCTAAGCCAATAGCTGCAAAATGGCTGTTTACCTGAATTATTCTGTTCTGCAACATGTGCTTAGTACAGCCTGACACCTATAATCAAGACCTCTCAGGGATCATCACATGTCAAAATCACTGCCTGCTCCAAATCCCTGTTGTCTACTGCTGATTTACTGTACACAATGTGGGTCTTAATCCTTAATGTTGCACCAGTCCTCCTCCTGCTTCTCTCTGTTGTGTATTTTCGTTGGCAGAGAAGTTGGCAGTGGGAGCCATTTGGATTTTATGACCATCCTGTCCAGCTATAATACACCTCCCCACACCCACCTCTGTATGGGTGTTATGGTTGGCCTTGCAGGTCCACTCAATCCTGTCAGGGCAGCGGACAAACAATATCACACAAGACTCTGACTTAGTATTAATCAGAATAGGAAGTCAAAGATTTATCGCCAATGTTTCTCGCTCATATTGTTGAATATGGAACATTGTTTGTGGAATTATTGCGTCAACTTAGGATACGTCTAAGGGTGGAGTCTGATGCTGTCAAGTTAGAAAATGGAATACAATTGTGATAGATTGCCGGTGAATCGTTGAAGCGGTTTACTTCCAATCTTAGTCCTTCAGTTCTAGGAATAGCAGTATTAAATACAGTGTGGCGCTTTAGTGTCCAAATAAAGCAACCCGCAGGTCTATACATAGATATAATTACACAGGGTGAAGTCATGGGAGGCATGGCGAAGCAGTTTTTCTCCAAATGCACAATCATAATAAAACAGGGTGCAAACCAATCATTACAGGGATTAACCGTGTCACCGCGTCAACCTACCAAGGGAATAATATTTTTGCGATTCTTTCTTTCTCTAGAGCAAACCCACAAAAATATGATTCAGTCAAACACCTGCTAAACAAAGAGAAATGAATCCTGGACAAACAACAAGGGAGGAAAACAAATAGCTTCAGAAGAAAAGAGCAGAGACACAACTGCAGGGATTGTGGACTGCGCGTCACTTCAGATGACAATCATCAGATGACAATCAACAGGTGACCACAGGCACAAGCACACCCTAACAATGACTCTGTTTTCTGATGTGATTGTTGAGGAAGAAGCTGTGCCTCCTCTCGCCTGGCATGGTGTTTATATCCACCACACTACAACTCTCACAGGGAACAGTACTTGGAAGTAGAATCATGCACCAGAGTGCTCTTAGGAAATCAACAACACAGAGATGAAAAAAAAAAAAAAAAAAAAAAAAAGGACACAAACAATCAAGCTGCATCTCAAGGCCAATCATCATCCCTGATTGAGATGAGCAGAGAATGGGGGACACAGAGGGACCAGAGCAGCAGAACTTTTACGTAATGTTTATGTAACCTCACTACAGCGTGCCAGCTACTGCAGAGTGACCGTGGGAATGAAACGGGGCATCATTGGCATATCTGATCAGCTTTGAGTTGCTTTAAAACATTGTTTCAAACTTACACCTTTAGGGACAGGGGCCCCTCTTTTTCTAAGACGGCTGAGTTTCTTAAATGAAATCTGTTTTAGTGAGAGTTCTCTGTTCCTGATGAGATTATTGTAGATCCAACTGTGTTTCTACGAGGGGTGAATAAAATAACATCACACTTTGCAGGACAGGGGTTAAAGTAAAGAAGCATTTAGTTTAATTCATTATGTTCAGAATCTAACAGTGCTGTGTCTGCTGTCTGTAATGCCCAAAATAGTACTAATGTTTCTAATAATGTTAGGAGGAACCTATAACTTTAATCTGGGTAAATAAGAGCTTCATTTGGCGGCCTGTTTATTAAGCAGATGCTGCGTCAGAGTGAGAAAGAAAGTGGCTGAACTGTGCTGAACTCGTGAGCTGACTCTGACTTGTCTTCATTAGAATGACATGTCAGAGTGTAGATGATGTGAGTAAAAGCTCCTGTGGGGAGTGTTCATCTGGTTATGAAACACACTGAAATGAATACAAATTTTCAGTTTTCGGGCCTTTTTTATTTCTATGGTTATTTTTAATGCCTGTTAACGCTGCGGGTTGGGGTGGGGTGGGGGGGTGTCAGGTGAAATTAGTTGCAAAATGCTGCACTTTGTTGGCCTTTTTTCACAGGAAAGACTCAGAGTGAGTGATAAGAGTGAAAGCAGGATAAGATATTTTCTACAGAATTAGTACTTAGATAGTACAAGACAAGAGTTACCACTCTGTACAGAATCTACACAAACTGAAAGTCCCCAACAGGAGCTTTGATACAGTAGCTTGTCATTGAAAGTGATTTATACTTCAGTACCTTATGGTATGGTATTAGACTTATTTATCACCAATGGTGATTGTTTAAAAATAATACCAGCAAACTCCAAGATCCTATGTGAATGTATGACCTCATGAAACTATAGCTTTGTTAATATTTGGATTGAGAGATCACTGGCAAGAAATTATACACAGTGCCTTTAACTAGAATTATTAACATATATATCCAACCCCGACTTGCTTGTCACAAACCTCTCCAATGTTCTGTTAGAAAGTTTTCTAGTTGCAACCCATATTATTTCATTTTTCCATCTCAGAAATGTGGTTTCCATAGTGTCAGGGGATCACTGAAAGCAAACAGGACCAGCAGGTTGGATTAACTCCAACCGTTCAGCCAAAAACACTAAAATGTGAAATATGAGTCCTGGATAAGTCAAAATATGGTCTCTATCCACATAAAATAAACACCCAACCCACTTTTTTGATAAGGACTGAAGAAGAGTTGATGAGTACCATCTCCAGCATGAAATCATGAGTGTGGAGTGGTAGAAAGCCTTTAAAGTTTCAGTTTCATAATATATACCGGTTGAGGTGTAAAGTTGTTTCACCATCTTAGGGGAACTAAAACATAATACTATTTATTCCCAAAAGAGAGGATTAAGTCAGACCCTCACATGAGGCATCACTGTGGCTCTTCAGTAAATCTGATAACATTTAATAAACCGAAGAATACCGAGCTATGTGTCGCTGTAATAAATATTTTGGACATCACTTATAACCCACAGTTACAAGATTACACGACAAACTGCTGATAGCTTGAAAAGAAAAAAGTAATTCCTATCCAGATTACTACGGATACTCATCAGTTTAAACGTAATTTGCTAACCTCAAGACACATGAAAACAAATGTTTGACTCATTCCAGGAAACGCCTTTCGACTAACCGTCTCTCTGCCTGCAGGGAGTTTGAGGGGATGAGGGAGCCCCAACAATACTGGTTCAGGGGGGTCTGAGGGATTTGGCCCTCTTACCAGCCTCCTACACACACACACACACACACACACACACACACACACACACACACACACACACACACACACACACACACACACACACACACACACACACACACACACACACACACACACACACACACACACACACACACACACACACACACACACACACACACACACACACACACACACACA